AGTGATGGGGGTCCATTTTAATTAAAACTTTATGTCTGTGTTCCAGAGAAGAATGCAGAGTAAAACCTAATAAATTGTAGGATGACTTTGTATAACCAAAGCAGCCATATGCCAGCCTTTGATTCTCATAAAATCTTACTTTGAATTGCAGTGTAAAGAGAACATCAAGGGTGGAGAGATGGCAGTGTTTGCTTCACGAGCAGGCCCTGGACCGTGCTGGCATCCAGCATGCTTTACCTGCTCCACCTGTCATGAACTTCTGGTAGATCTCATCTATTTCTATCACAATGGCAAAATCTACTGCGGTAGACATCACGCAGAGCTTCTGAAGCCACGGTGTTCAGCTTGTGATGAGGTGAGTATATTTATATTTTTCTAAAGAGGCGGTATACAAAGAAACTAAATGAAAAAAAAATCTAATTTCATGTCTCTTCACAGATCATCTTTGCTGACGAGTGTACTGAAGCCGAGGGTCGTCACTGGCACATGAAACACTTCTCTTGCTTTGAGTGTGAGACTATTCTGGGGGGACAGAGGTACATCATGAAGGATGGCCGACCCTTCTGCTGTGGATGCTTTGAGTCACTATATGCAGAGTACTGTGAGGCCTGTGGGGAGAATATCGGTGAGTTACCTGTGGAACAACTAAAACTGTATGCAGGGATGTCTATTCCTGCTTCTGGAGGGCCACCTTCTTGCAGACTTTAGCTCCAACATACCTGCTAGAATGTATTGAGTAATCCTGAAAACCTTGATTGGTTGGTTTAGGTTTATATAATTAGGGTTAAAGCAAACCCCTACAGGAAGGTGGCCCTTCAGGAGCAGGACTGGACATCTCTGTTACACCTGTATGAATATCTGGTTTAAAAAAGTACAGCATTTCTTACTTGTTGATTTACCTTTATTCAGGAGTCGACCATGCTCAAATGACGTATGAGGGTGTACACTGGCATGCTACTGACAAATGCTTCTGTTGTGCCCAATGCAAAACCTCCCTGCTGGGCTGCCCCTTCCTTCCAAAAGAGGGCCGGATCTACTGCTCTAAGGACTGTAGCCTAGGTGAGGATGTCCATGCTTCTGACTCTTCAGACTCAGCTTTTCAGTCTGCCAGATCACGGGAATCTCGACGTAGCATACGAATGGGCAAGAGTAGTCGCCCTACAGAGCAGTGCCAGCAGACAAAACTCTATTCAGCAACAGATTACAGGACCTCTAGTCTCTGTGGTGACAACACGGAGACCGTGTGTCATCAGCTGGAGAGAATGAACTTTGCAGAGGACAGCTACTGGAGAGACCGGGATGAACAGGAAGGCCCTGAGGACAGTGTGGAAGATTGGGCTGAGCATGAAGACTACATGACTCAGCTGCTACTGAAATTTGGAGATCGTGGTGTCATTCACACGGAGGACACAAGGCCGGTCGAGCCATGGATGATGAAAGACTCTGAGTCCAACAGGACCAAACCAGAAATGAAGATCAGCAGCCATAATTTGGCAAGTAAGAAGCACCACACCGAAATGTATTGGGCCCAGTCTCAGGATGGACTTGGAGACTCTGCCTATGGTAGTCACCCTGGCCCAGCTAGTGCTAGAAAGATTCAAGAGCTAGAGATGGATCAGGCAGCAGTACCTGGATTCTGGTCTGAGCCTAGGCAATGGTATGAAGACTCACTGGAGTGCATTACAAGTGAATTCCGGAAGGCAGAGCACAACATTGGAGATTCTATGGGTTCTTTAGCTCTCTCAAATATTACAGGTAGGAAGGTCATCTTCTATCAAAGTCTTGCATTTCTTGGTCCTTCTTAAAAGAATCTTAATTACTCATAACATGTATTTCCAATTTCTCAGGGGCTTCAGTGGATGGAAACAGCAAAGACAGACAGACCATCTACTCCCTCCAAAACATGGAAGTCCAAGAGAGAGAGATGGATGAGTGTGATAACGTTAGTAACATGGGCACACTAAACTCCTCAATGCTCCACAGAAGTGCTAATTCCCTCAGGAGTTTAAACTCTGAGCTGAACTGTGAGGAGACACTGGGGCAAGGAGAGAGAGAAGACGAGGAAGAAGAGGACAAAATTCCACCTTATTTTGGAGAGGAACCACCCTCTCCACTGCATCTTCCATTGCTGAGAAGGACCAAGTCTCAATCTCAGCCCCAATCCAGACCTCAGCAAGTGAAGTTCTCTGACGATGTTATGGATAAAGGATGTTATGGCGGACTATGCTTGAGGCAACCACCAATGAGCGAGAGGACTCGCAGACGGACCTATCATATGGAGGAGCCACAGAGACGTCCTGCTAACAGACATCACAAACGCAGACAGGGCCGGAAAACACGTTCAGAAAATGCCTTGCACCTGCCTTCCAAAAATCAGGGTAAATTGCATGTTGTGCCTCAGATAATCAGCTCAAGCATACCAGAGCCCAGGAACGGTATTCTTCTAAATCACTCAGCACACAGTCAGCACCCTTATCATCAAACCCCAACAGACTTTGCTCAGCAGGGCATGATCCGAATGGACCATTTCCAAAACTTTTGTGACGATGATGACGACGACTGGTGTTCGACATGCTCGTCTTCATCTTCAGAGTCTGAGGAGGAGGGATTCTTTCTTGGTCAGCCAATCCCTAAGCCCCGATCCCAAAGTTTTCATTATTACACAGAGGACTATCCGACTCTAGTCACTGCTTTAACACCTCCTTTCAGCTCACGGACCAAACTAAAAAAGAAAGGTCATAAGGGCAAGAACTGCATAATTTCTTAGACTTTAGACTGAAAGCCTACATATACTGCAGCTGGGATATAAATACAAGTGTATTCCAAGGGATTCTAAAGCTGGAAAACAAAACAAAAAATTTCTTGTGATTTAAGTTCTCTTTACAAGTACAGTGTCAGTTGTGTTGCTGTTGTATGAACAATGAAAGTAACATGTAATATGTCCTTGTACATTGTATAGCAAAAGCATTATTCCCAAAAATAAGCCAAATTTCAAGTAGCATGTAGACTAACAAAATAATTATTTAATAGTGCAAGCAATGTATATTTGTTAAATTAAGATTGGAATACTGATATTTTTATATCCAAATATGTTAAATGATTAATTACCATAATTCCTGGCCTCAGATGGAGTTATAATTACTGATCAACAAAATTTAGGTTTGCCATTTTATTGACCAGAGGTTTGCAAATTCAAAATATATACGCACTATTTATGCGCTTAATTGCCTCGTTATATTTTCCTGCAGGTGTAATAACTGCACCCTTAAACATTTTTCTGTCTACAATATGCTTATGCGCTTAAACAGTGTTGGGGGAATCTTCTCTCTATTATGTACATTTCACCACAGGTAACCATACTATCCCTTTTTAACATTAAGATGTAAATAAAATAATTCAAAAGAGATTTAATACATTCCATAGCAATTTGATTTTTTTTTTTCATTTGTACATTGGATGCTTGAGAAAACAAAAAAAAATTGATTACTAAACATAGCAAATTTATTTAATTACAAACATGAAATCACAAAAAGGCTTAAATCAAAAGGGAAAACATGCATTATAGTAGGTTCAAGACTCTTTAACACTATACAAAGAAAAAGCTACACAAATACTTGTGTTGGGTTTTCACAATATAGTGGCTGGGAAAAAATGAAAATGCATTATTGTCTGCTGCACAGCTTAGCATTACTACAGATAGCAGCAAATTGCTGAACCCATAAATATTACTTACCGTAGTTCATTCACCAGCTTTTCTCATTGGTTTGAATGTAAGTGACTCAATTGGCAACAACATAGAACCCTTTCATTTTATACACATTTGATCAGAACAAACACCACCATATTCCGGCATTGCTTTCCTTGTGTTTGCCATCTAAATTTTTTTTTTAATTCATCTTAATGTTGAAAGGTTACAAAAAGATTATACAACCTAGCATCGACTAGTGTCAATGGATGAATGAAACTGCATATATGAAATACATAAAGAGATTTTCCTTGCCCTGTTGCAGACCAGGAAGTTTTCTTTTAGGTGGACACCGAGTACACAATGTACAATGGCCTTTACATAAACCATAAAAAACAGTGACTTTTGTGTAGGTACAGGGGGGTAAAAAGAACAAAAATGCTCATTGAGTAAAATGTGGCCACCTTAGACAGCAGGTTCAGGCTGTCGTACCACCTCATCAAGTTCAGCAATGAAGTTTCTCAAGTCTTCGAGGCATCGCTCACGGATCTCAATCAGATTATCTTTTAGTGGGTTCTGCAGGTGCTTCTCTAAGCTGGGTTCTTTGGCCACCAGCATCTTCACCACCATGCCAAACGTCTCACAGTCCTGACGATAGACCTATAAAACAGCCCAATATTTGAGATTATAAAGCAGTAATATTGTCCGACATGTACAACTGCTGCTTAAAATGAAGATTATGTGCATACAAATGTCATTGGCAATCTCCAATCACTGCATAACAGTGTATGTTCATGTCTAGTTACTTAGACCTCATCAACAACAAGGAACAAGGTTCCTTAAAGTGTGTTAAATGTGATTTTCTTTTCCATTTGGCTTTCTAACCAACATAAAAACACATGCCTTGACAAGCTCAGACAACAATTTCTTGATTATAATAATTAATCCTGGAGCTCAACATTAAGATTTTTCTCTGCTGAGCAAACCATTCAGATATGCACTTACCCTGTTGACATTTTCATTGGCCTTGAAAAATGCAAAGTTGCATTTAAAAGTACATTTTTGTTAAGCAGCAAAGATGCAACATTATTCTAATTGGAAACAATATACTGTGCTTGTACTTTACATTTATGGCAAAGACATTGTGTTGACAATAACGACACAGTCTCAAGACCCATCTCATAGAACAGACCATTACCCCTTTTCCACCAGCATGAACCGGGTGCTAGTTCAGAGCCAGTGCTATTGCCAGTTGGTTCAACTGGCGGGCCTTCTAAGAACCAGTAGAAAAAGCTACACAAATACTTGTGTTGGGTTTTCACAATATAGTGGCTGGGAAAAAATGAAAATGCATTATTGTCTGCTGCACAGCTTAGCATTACTACAGATAGCAGCAAATTGCTGAACCCATAAATATTACTTACCGTAGTTCATTCACCAGCTTTTCTCATTGGTTTGAATGTAAGTGACTCAATTGGCAACAACATAGAACCCTTTCATTTTATACACATTTGATCAGAACAAACACCACCATATTCCGGCATTGCTTTCCTTGTGTTTGCCATCTAAATTTTTTTTTTAATTCATCTTAATGTTGAAAGGTTACAAAAAGATTATACAACCTAGCATCGACTAGTGTCAATGGATGAATGAAACTGCATATATGAAATACATAAAGAGATTTTCCTTGCCCTGTTGCAGACCAGGAAGTTTTCTTTTAGGTGGACACCGAGTACACAATGTACAATGGCCTTTACATAAACCATAAAAAACAGTGACTTTTGTGTAGGTACAGGGGGGTAAAAAGAACAAAAATGCTCATTGAGTAAAATGTGGCCACCTTAGACAGCAGGTTCAGGCTGTCGTACCACCTCATCAAGTTCAGCAATGAAGTTTCTCAAGTCTTCGAGGCATCGCTCACGGATCTCAATCAGATTATCTTTTAGTGGGTTCTGCAGGTGCTTCTCTAAGCTGGGTTCTTTGGCCACCAGCATCTTCACCACCATGCCAAACGTCTCACAGTCCTGACGATAGACCTATAAAACAGCCCAATATTTGAGATTATAAAGCAGTAATATTGTCCGACATGTACAACTGCTGCTTAAAATGAAGATTATGTGCATACAAATGTCATTGGCAATCTCCAATCACTGCATAACAGTGTATGTTCATGTCTAGTTACTTAGACCTCATCAACAACAAGGAACAAGGTTCCTTAAAGTGTGTTAAATGTGATTTTCTTTTCCATTTGGCTTTCTAACCAACATAAAAACACATGCCTTGACAAGCTCAGACAACAATTTCTTGATTATAATAATTAATCCTGGAGCTCAACATTAAGATTTTTCTCTGCTGAGCAAACCATTCAGATATGCACTTACCCTGTTGACATTTTCATTGGCCTTGAAAAATGCAAAGTTGCATTTAAAAGTACATTTTTGTTAAGCAGCAAAGATGCAACATTATTCTAATTGGAAACAATATACTGTGCTTGTACTTTACATTTATGGCAAAGACATTGTGTTGACAATAACGACACAGTCTCAAGACCCATCTCATAGAACAGACCATTACCCCTTTTCCACCAGCATGAACCGGGTGCTAGTTCAGAGCCAGTGCTATTGCCAGTTGGTTCAACTGGCGGGCCTTCTAAGAACCAGTTTGCCTTTCCACGGGCTAGAGAGCCACCACAGAGCCAGGTCTTACATCACTGAATACGTCTCATCTTTCCCAGTAATGCTAGCACAGCAGTGCCAAACACAACAGGCTTGTTCAAGATGCATGGGCAGCATGCAAACCGATCGGCACACGACACCAAAGCACCGCGAAAGCGATCCAAAAGCATAAAGTGAGTCGTCTACTTTTCAATCACTCCTGCGGCACACCGACCGGTCCTCGCAGCGCCGATGCAGCCCGAACAAGCCTAAACACACCATCAACAATGGCGGACGTTGCATCGCTATCGATGTTCATGGCTATGCGAACCTACATCGTCATCCAAACACGGCAAATTCAACGTGTTCGTGTTTAGCTGCTATTTCAAAAATGTCAGTCAAAAGTTTGTTCATCTTGTTGGTCACGGTATCCCCACCCCCAGTCCCTGTCCCTGACGCAAGCAGTTCTTACTTCTAGACCAGCAATGTTTTGGTGCTACTTACGAACCACTTTGCCTGGTTCGGAGCTGGTGCTTTGGGTGTCGAAAGACAAAGAACCAATTTGAAACTAGGCTCTGGCTACGAACCTGCACTCAAACTGCCTTGGTGGAAAAGGGGTACACGAAAGCATCTTTAAACTTTTTCTGTTCACTGAAGACATGGGGATGGGGAGTGGTTTTTTGTTTTGTATTTGGGAGAACATTCTGCCTTTCTGATCTGCCATCCAGACGATAGAACAAAGCCCAATTCAAATCTCTCAGAGCTCAGTTATGTTTACTGTGGTTGGATAATCAAACACTTCTGGACATCAAAGCAATGCTTCAGACCCAGGGGAGTCTGCATAACCTCTGCAATTACCTTCACTCACACACAGCCCTTAGGACATGTAACTTATAGCTGGAGATCATATAGACAGTGATAAAATCAGACTGTCACGACTTTACGATGGTATGGAGCAACACAATGCACCCAACCAAAACTGAAAGAAACTGATGGTTAAACATCTCAGTAGATTGCGACATGGCCCTGACATTATATAACCATAAACAACATCTGGAAGCACTTCAAATATAACAGGAACTGAAAACTTTGGGCATAATTAAACAAAAAAAAAGACAAATCATAACTTCCGTGATTCCTTCTACCTGCCCTCACAAGTCTGGAAAAGAAATGTGGCCACCCAACTAATTGTGCTGACTAATAATTTTTGCAGTGAGCTCCTCATTAGCTTCTCGCATAAGGGCTCTTTCCCATGGCTGAGTCAAGTTCTAGTAAAATGAGATCACCTGGTTCCAGGAATCACCGAGGCCCCCACACTAAGCCCAGAGTCCTTGTGTGAGAACTGCCTCTAATAGTCATTAAGTCGAATAGGTTCAATGAGAAGACTCTAATAGTCAATTAGAACATTCTAGAATAGAATGGATAAATTATGTAGAAAGAAAGTTCTCAGTAGCCTGAGGCTGCAGGTTAAGAGAGACCGCAGTTAAAAAGTCAATCTGTGTGACTGTTTAAATTGCATTAATGCTCAGCCAATGGTTGCTGGAGCTTTGTGCTATTTTTTTTTTTAAGTTGAAAATAATGTTAGTTATAAATTTAGATCAGCACCATATAGTACATAAATAAGAGTTTAAACTAGTAGTAATATGGTAGTGGTAGCGCTGCTTGCCTTTGCACAATTTGCCACCACAATGTTAAATTGTGTGTGGTTTCCAGGACATTATGTGGTTGCTAAGGAGTTTTGAATGGTTTTTGGGTGGCTGTTTACTGGTCCAAGTCAATAGAGTCTGTGTCTAAAGACAAAATCACATTAGCAAAATTCCAGAAAATGTTTGCAGACAAAAAGGTCTATTATTCACAGTCAACATGCACTCTTGTATCTGAAGTCACGGTTTGTTAATGTGGCGAATTTTCGTGAAAAACCTGAATGAGAAACCTGCTTGGGTAAATTCACGAATCACACCGATTCCTATTAAATTAACTGGATTTTAACTGTGAAATTTTAGCAAGCAACAGTAAATGTGACCACACTTTTATATTCTCTGATATTTAGGTACTTAAAAGTCTATTTTTTTGCCCATTTTATTGTCTACCAGGTGTAAAATCATAAGTCAAATATGAGTTACAGATCCTGGCCCTGCAAGAGAAAGTCAGTACACAAGATTCCCATGAATAACTTAGAGTCCATGTGGGCCTTAACTGTATGTGTGGCCTAGAATTACATTCAAATTAGATGAGAAGAGGGGATTATGGTACTGTTATAGCAAAGTCATCCGAGTACAGTAGAAAAGACTCCTAGTTACAGAATAAACCACTACTAAACTCAGTAAGTAGGGCATCAGTATCCAAAGCAGAGGTTAACAAGAAATTCTGAATGACCACTATTTTTAAAGCAAATGTATTCTATTCGCTACTATTTTTCTGCTGCTTTGTAATGATTAAATTAAACATTTTTAAAGTAGTTATTGTGATTCGAATTCATATTGCTATGCTGTCCTTTTATGAGATATTTTATAACCTTGAGCATACAAAGACGCCACTAAGATTAAATAATTCATAATGCCAAGAATGCTGGGAAGCGATTTCTTAGAGCATGCTCTACTTCCATAGACTTCCTGTGAACCCCACCTCTGTTACTTAATCAAACAGGAAAGCTGAACAGGACCTTGAGAGTGTGTGTGTACTTGTTCAGACTTTCAAGTGTCATTTTTGTACTGTGGGAGGCTCATTCCTGATTCCGGGTAAAGATAGCAGAGAATTATTCAGGAAGGGTGGGAGAGACAAGGAGTGAAAAGTGGGAAATCATCTATACACTAATAACTTTCAGAGTGGTTCAGTGAAAGTTCAGTTCTAGTTGTGTAAGACCAAATTTATATCATTATATCAAAGAGTATATCATTTGGACTGTAAAATTTCAATACATTCAGCTGTACAATATAGACTAAAAGTTACAGCAAACATCAGTTAAATGCAATGAACTTATCCAATGAAATCGCTTGTGTATTGAATTCGGTCAACACATTTTCTGTGCATACATTAGCATATACAGTATATACTCCTAAACATATGGACTAAAAATCACAAAGCACTCATTTAAAATCCCAAATAATCACTTTTAAGCATGCATATTCAACTTAATAAAGGCAAAAGGAGGTATACTCTAATGCCTGTGTTCTTGAACAGGAGCACAAAAACACTAAGCATTGCAAAACAACATGTAAGGGTAATGGTCTTTGGGGGCAACTGTGCATTAGTCTATTATTTTATTTGATCTGACATTTTCAGATTAGAAACATCAAATGCGATTAAAGAATGAAGGAATCAAACATTTCTGATGGACCTCAAAAGCTTTGCTTCAGACCCAGATTAAACCTCGCCGTGGACTGCAGAACCATCACAACAAAGATGCCCTACTTACAGTACTTTAGCAGTAAGGAATTCAGTCTCGTTAGAATCACACAGGCTCATCTTCTGTAAAATAAACGTCTTGCTGGTCAAAACAAAACTATCGAGAGCCAACTAGATTCTTTGAGCATGACTTGAGCTGAACTTGTTTAAAGTATATGCTCACTCACTGCCAAGATGAAACATAACTAATAAAGAAAAGACCATAAGAATGCACAGATAAAAACAAAAAAACTAAATGAATAGTTTATCTATAAATTATACTTCTTTCATCATTTAACACACTCTCATTACTATTTATTTGGTGTAACAATTTTGAAGAATTGTACTGGTCGATCTTTTACATTTAATTAGTCCCCATGCGGACATAGGCTTTCAAGCTTCAAAAAGGATGCAAAGGCACCATAAAGAATCAAAAGTGGCCCATGACAACTTGTGCACTATAGGTTTCTGAAACCATATGATAGCGTATGGTAGAATCAAACTGAACTTGAAGTCATTACTGAATTCTCCTCTGTAAATCGTTAAATGTTGTGAACAGATCATTGAGTCAGTGTTGAACTCACAAACCAGATCAGTCCAATTCATGAATGAATCATTCAGATAAGTTTTAGTTTCTGCATGGAAAAGAGCAAATGGCACATTATTCAGGATATCTCCTTTTATTTGTCCCATGAACCCTTTAGATGTACAGTGGGGCAAAAAAGTATTTAGTCAGCCACCAATTGTGCAAGTTCTCCCACTTAAAAAGATGAGAGAGGCCTGTAATTTTCATCATAGGTATACCTCAACTATGAGAGACAAAATGAGAAAAAAAAAATCCAGAAAATCACATTGTAGGATTTTTAAAGAATTATTTGGTAAATTCCTCGGTAAAATAAGTATTTGGTCACCTACAAACAAGCAAGATTTCTGGCTCTCACAGACCTGTAACTTCTTCTTTAAGAGGCTCCTCTGTCCTCCACTCGTGACCTGTATTA